CTGGTTAAAATAAAAAAACTTTAAAAGCATTAAAACCAGTTGAATTATTAATTGTGTTGTTTATGTTATTATAAGTTACTTTTATGCAATCCTAACGCATTTTTAATTCATGGCTTACGATTTATTGCTAGCCATTAAAAGTTGCACATAAATTATATTTATGACAAATTTAATGAAGTTTCAAACTTAGAACTTAATATTGATAAAATCCACGGAAAAATGTTACGATATTGGGCTTTTTATTAGAAAGGGACATTATTTTTTATATAGTGCACAATAAATATATAAACAAAGGAAATGCTTTTTCCAGTTAAGTTTTTAAAAGTTTTCCAAAGTTTTTGTATTAGAAAAATACCTAAGTCCACTCAGCAGCTTAGTAACTGTTTCCTCCACTCAGTGCATCTCTCTTGTTCTACCCACCGCCACTCAACTTTTAAAGTCCTCTCGAAGCTCTTTTTCTTATTTTTGCTTTTGAACATAACAATGTTCATATATTTCCGTGCGAAGCACAAAGCATACTTGGCAGCTGAATTCGATGGCAAACTCGGGCCCCGACATTTCCGATCAAAAAAATCAGGAGAAGATGGAGATGCCCGTGGCGCTGCGATGCTCCGCTTAATCAGCACTGGCTGATGGCACATAACTCAGATATAGTACAGCCGGAATATGGCGTAGAAACAACCGGGAAAAAAGCCACCCATGGTCCTCGCCTTCCTTCGAAAAGGATAGTGTTATCCTGGCTGGATACAAGGAAGAAGTGCGCCCGCTGTTGCTTTTCTGCTGCTCTGCACTTTAATTTTAAAACAAATGCTGGCGAGCTCCACACGAAATTCGGCACAGTCACTCAAGCGAGATGGAAAGAGAGATATAAAATATATAGCGTATAAACTAGAGATATATCCTTTAAAAGCCAAAATAAATTATTTCAAATAAAATAAGAAGTTAAATTGCCCATAAATTCACTAACGAAATAAAAAAGGTGTTTTAAAATCAACTTTAAAGGTGTTAAAAGAATGCAGACGATTGAATACAATATCCCTTGCAATTTGTTATTGCACACTTTTAGACACTTTTATAAATATTTTTCAAATTTTAAATATTTTTATTTGAAATTAGTGATTAAATATATTTACAAACGGTACAAAACGGAACAAAACGGTTTACGGTTAGCATGCTTAAGGGAATTAAATTCATTAATCCAGAAAATGCATCCCCATATTATAATCGACTTTTGTTCTCGTTGAAGTGGCCAAAGAAGAGCAATTGGGCAGCCAGGCGTGCCTAAATTACAGTTGCAATCAAATCTTAGAGCAACCGCAAGTGCAGGCCACATTTACAGAGCTGTCTCTCACAAAATTAACCACAACAACTTGCAGTCCTCACACACACACTTCGACACAACCGCACATACACACACACACATGAATGAGGATTTTGTATTACAGGATAGTATCGCTGCGGTTTGTTAGGAAACTTATTAGATTAGCAGGGGAACCCCTTTCCGGCACTCGAGCGAATGCAACAGGCTATACATTTGACCACCGAGCTGTCCGACCGCAAACAGCTGTCAGTCAGGCCCATGCCATATCCTATGTCCTTTGATAAATCTGATTAAAGCGAGCCGCCCCCATCCATTGACAAATTTAAAGTACCCGCACTCAGGCTAATGACTTGCCCTGTTCTAAAAACCCAAGAGGTAGGGGTAGGGGCCGGCATGATGGATGCTTATATAAAAACCCCTCTTAGTCGGGGTTAACCCTGTCCAGCAATAGATGACGAATGGCGCTGCCCATGGACATCTGTATCCGTATGCGCATCTCTCGGAGGAAGCGCAAAAAAGCATGCTATGAAATTTTATTTATGCCACTTTTGGGGCTGCATGTCACATCTGCACAAAGGACCATTGTCGGTCGCTGGCTACACAAAAAGCAAGTCACAGAGATAATGACAAGGGTTTCGACTAAATTGATACCTGGTATTAATTTGATTTTTTTTTAAGTTTTTATCTCTAAAGGAATATAATTAAACAAATTCAAAAACTATTTATTTTGTTGTTAAAAATATTCTAAGTAAAGAAAACTGGAAAGGTGAATTTTAATTATTATTTACATTTAAGAAAACATAAAAAACAAAATAATAAAATTTACAGATCAATTTGTATTTATCTATTGAATACGGTTAATTAAAATTTTGTTTAATAATACTATTGAGTATAAAATATCTTTAAGACACAACCTTAAAACACTACCTTATCTCCTTTACATCTCATCCAACCTGACTTCCCCTTACGAAAAATCCCATATGCAGAAAAATACGTTACTAATTCGAAAGATGAATTAGATTTGCAGCATTTGGAGATTTGCAGCTTTGCAGTTTTGCCATCCGGGGAAAAGGGGATCGGAGAACTATAAATTTCATTTGTCACAGCAAATCCCCAGAGCGGCTTACAATGAAGTTCATTTCACAGGCAACGAGGCGAGCGAGAAAGACATTTTTACGTAGTTTTGTGGCAAAGTCAAAAACAGCATAATGCATGTCGCACACTCGCATGTACTCGTACGTATACGTATACAAAAATACACACACACACGTATTGTCTGGGTGGGACAGCTGACACAAAAGCCATAGAGAACAATTTAGATATTTTCTAAAGATTTAAGCGCTTCACAATCGCCTCACACGGGACATGGGGCATGGACATGGATGGAGGGCAAAAGCTGTCGACAGCTTCGGTTACATAACTCTCTCTCTGAGGTCCTTTGGTTTGCTTGTCTATTTGTTTGCCATTTAAATAAGCATACTTCCCAGGGAAAAGGAAAAACTGAAGGGGGAAAAAGCGGAAATAAATATGTAAAAATAAAATACATTCATATTCATGTGACTAACCACAGAAAGCTCTACATTATTACTTATGTTTATTTGTTGTTTGTCTCCTGCAGGTACGTAAGCCAGAGGTGGAGGTTTCCCATCCGGAGCTGCTCCTAAGTGGCTCACTCCGCTATTTGCATACGAAGGCCGAAGTATCTGTTGCTCGGTGCATGTGTGCCTGTGTGCCATGTGTGGCAGCCCTTGAGTGTCTTAAGTTCCGGGTAAGTGGGAACTTTTTCTGAATTCCAGCAAGTGGTGCGTCGAGTGGCTGCCCCGGCAAAAGGGTTTTACGGTATGAAATGTATTTGGGTCCGCAGACGGATTCCTCGCACACAATTGTGACCTCAATTGGCGCCCAGCTTGTGGGTGAAAATAGAGCGGAAGCTCAAAGGTTCTTCCCCCAAAGACCAAAGCACACTTCTCCTACTACATATTCAGCTACTCCAGATGTGTGAATAAATTTAATTTACTTCTTGGCTTTAAGGTGTTTTGGGTTGGCTTGGGGATTATTCAAGTCAAATGGCAGGCACTCGGGCGGAAGAATGTCACAACAATTTTGAAGAGAAAATAAAAGTTGGTTTACTTTCATATAAATATTTATGTAGGTAGCAGATGGTCTGCAGAGAAGGGCAAATAAAAATAGTTAATTTAATTTATAAAAAAATTCTTTTCTTCATATATTTTTGAAAATATGATAATTGAGAATAGCCAATACCGAAATATTTAGAAAATGTAAAAAATCCATATTTATTAGTTAAAATCATTTTAAAAAGTGTCTAAGAATATGCAGTGTAAAGCAGATGTCATTTTTTGCCATCGAAATATCGTAATCGAAACATATTGTTGCATACTTTTAGTCACCCGTATAAAAGATTTGAAGGTAAAATAGTTATCTTTAGAAATGTAAGATATTTTTATTTTTCCGTGGCGACTTACAAATATTTTATTTTCTCACAAGCTAATTTCTTTGGCTGCACGTACGAACCACGTGCGTAATTAACCCACTTGCAGGGCAGCTGCACCGCTGGCGAATCGCATGCCACTGTGGTGCGGCGTTGGCCACAAAGAAAAGCGCCAAAAATCCGCAAACGGCGTGCAAAAATTTGCTTCGCTTTTAATGGCTCACATGGGCGAGTGTGTGTGTGTGTGTGTGCGTTCATAAGAGCCTTAACTGACCAGCACAAGCAAATACGCACCCACACTCACACAACCGAAAGGATCGTCGTGCCTGGCCAACGCTTTAAAAAGCCATTTCGGTTTGCTTTACCCATTCTGCATTTTTTTTATACTTTTTGCGGAATCCTGGTATCGCCCAGAATGGATGGCACATCGTTTAAAGCGGCCACAGCAGCTGGAAAAAATCGTTGGGCGGATTATAAAACACTTAAACGATTTTAAGCGCAATTATGTTGGCAGGAGCACGTAACCAGCAGCCCTTTCTGTTTAATTTTTGAGCACTTCCCCAAGGGCGTTTTCTCATTAGGTTTTCAATTTAAAGGTGCTCTACATTAGTTAAAGAAAGGAGAAAAAAAACTGTATAAAAACAAGAGGGTGCCGGAGAAGTGCCAGGGGGGGCGGATAGCGTGGAACAACAGGAGTTGCAAACTCGGGACTGCCGTGCAACAATTAGAACGTCAGCTTACCGGAAAAAAGTTTGCATTTCATTTATGCTCGTAGGGATTTATTTACGGACAAAAAACCCGTCCAGAACTAGTTCTTAAAAGACAACGGATAGTGGAGGTTCCACAGCAGCATCCGCTGCCAAGTTCGCTCCATTGTTGCAACAATAAACTTCCGGCCCTAAATTTCAATTGCCTGCCCGTGTATAGGTGGAAAACAAAATGGCAGACCGTTGGCCAAGTTATCCCTGCCATGGCTTCTGACATTAATTAGCCCAAACATGTTGAAACGAAGCAGAACAGAGCAGAGCCACTCCCCCCATCCAAAGATAATGATAATGGCAACGGTAAAGTTTTTGGCCATCTGCAGGTATATTATAATGGATCTGGCCCGGAGCATCCGTTTTCAGTGCTCCACGGGCTGCGTGTTTATTATGCAGTTCGTGTAAAGTCCAAAAATCTTGAATTCAGGTCCATAAATAAGGAATTTTGATAAATTATAAATAAGTATTTAAAATTATTATTTTAATTTTCGTAAAGTCTAAAATGGCGTCGAGTATATCTTGAAGTCGGGCTCCGTAAATTGGGAATTTTGATTAATTATACAAAAATAGAAGTTAATGTTAATTAATGTTTTAAGAGACAAGTGCTCTTTACAATAGTCTGACTTAAAGCGGAACGCTTTTCAGATCTCGACCACTTGATCCAGGTTCTCCACCAACTCCGAGATTTGGACTCGCCCGACTTAGCCTGCGATTCATCAGAATTGTTGACATCGGCATTCCGTTGACGAGCTTTCTTCGCGACTTCAACAGCTTTCTTCACAGCAGCCTTTCTGGCAGCTGTCGTGGTGGCAGTAGATTTCAAGTCCTTTGCTATTTTCGGTTTCTTCGTAACCGTGCGTTTGGCCCTGGTTGTTCTGGGTACGTCTTCATCGTCGTCGACAGACTCATCGGCTGATTCATCATGGTGCGGATCAAATTTCGGAGGCCTCTTTCCAACATGCTTAAGCAACGGTCCTTCGGGACGAGGAAACTCGTCGCTACTGGAAACGGGATCAATTTTTGACCGCACTCGTCGGTATACTGGTTTAACTGGTACCGGTCCGTCCTCCAAGTCGTCCAAGTCGTAGTAAAAATCTTTACCGCAAAATACAATACTAGACTTTTCCGGCTTCCTTCGGTACGCACGTTTAGATGTTCCCGGTTTTTCACCGTCCATTTCGCAGTTACAAAAATATACCGATTTTCAAGTATTCAAATTGTTGTTCTATCTTCAACTTAACTAGCTAGTATAGATTGAGATGTGAACTGTAGGAGAGATCTGTATAAACTGAAATATTATGTGGAGCTGTAGGGAAAGAGAACGAAAAATATTTGAAATTAGAAACACGGACGGTTTGATAATAAAAATGTTACAATAAATAGTTGAATTATAAGGGAAACCATTTCTAAAGCAACCGTTTTGGATTAAGGTTAAAATTAATAATTATTTTATGAATAAAATGAAAATATGTTTTTGCAAATATACCATACAAAATATATATTTAAATTAAGAAGTTAAATTAGAAAATTGGAAAATATTAAGATATAACTAAAATTAATTTCCAAACGGACATCGGTTCACTTTATTTTCTGCATGGTGTACACTGTATTTTCTTTCGAAAGAAAATGCCAAATAAAATGTCTGCCAAATTGTATTTCTCGTCTTTTGGCCAATTGCATTAATTTGCGGTCAAACGCTGGCAAATTTGACAGGAATTTCGCACGGCAATTTATGGCATGCCATTTTCGAGTTCGCTTTTTGGCTGCGCACGAGTGCCGCTAACTTTATATAATGGCGCAAAGTTCACACTTCCTTTTAGGATGAACTTTGTCCACTGACTGCAGTTGTGTTGTGTCTGCTGAACTTTTGTCCAAATAGAGGCGCTATTTGCTATTTGCACTTGCTTTTGCTTTTGCAGCAGTGCTAAATATTTCAAACAAAAGCCAAACAAACAGCTGACAACGGCCACAACGAATGTCTGGCGGAAGGAAGTTCAACTTAAATAACGGATATTGGCTTGAATAAACAATGGCGTTCGACGGCGACTCCCTCTCCTTTTATTTCCCTCTCTTTCCTGCGAGTGTGCGATATGGGAGTCGTAAACCGGAAGTCGTCTGCCCGCCATTTTGTGGTTGGGGTGGCAAAGTTAACCCTTCTTCTTCGGCATTGTTGGTATTATGGCTGCTCGGTGTGCAACAGCTGTGTGTTTTTGGGAACTTCTTCGGTCGCCTTAATTGCCGGTTAATTAGCATAGTTTCAGCTCGCATGTGCATGCGTATATCCAATACCCCAATTTGGACAAAAGGTCGAATGTCTTTTTGCTATAAAAAGAGGGAAGGAAAATATCCCTGCCGTTGACATGTGTTCCTGGCTGTGACAAGCCATTGATGGAATTTAACAACTGTGCAAATATTTGACACCCGCATGGTTCACTGCCTCCTGCCCTTTTTTGTCCTCCATGGGACCAATCCCCGCATAAATCGGTCACTGGAGCGTGAGAGGACGAAAATTGACTGGATTTCGGCGAGAAACGTAAGGGAAAAATATCGAAATTTTTGGCCTCGCCTCCAGGTTATCCAATATTAGTGTTACATGCCCCATTTCGCCATGTGTACAATCACGGAAAAGAGTTTCAAAAGCGCTTGAAAAGTTTTTCGACTAAAAACAATCAACCAGTTTAAAAAAATCAATTCAAAGAAATTTATACAAAACATTTATTCAATTTAAGTCTTTTAAGCTCAGGAAAAATATTGTACTATTTAAGTTTTTAACTTTATCATTTTCATTTTTTTTAAATATTTTAAAAAATATATAAAACACAATTAATTACTTATGGGAACATTTTTTTAACGAGCATTTTACCTATTATTGCCAACTTGCTTTCTAAGTATGCCTAGATAAACAAATAAAAAACGGAACTTAAAAGTTGCCCCTGGGCAAAGGAAGTTAGCTACTTATAACGTAATTCCCTTCTCACTTCCGCCGTGAGCAAGTCACAGAGAGCATTCAAATTATTTTCAAACCCAACGACTGCGATAGCGACAATGTTTGCACAGACTGGCGGAAAAAAGAAATGGGTGTGAAAAAGTGCGACGAGAAGGAGTATAGTGGAAAGTATAATGGAGGTCCTGTAGCCAGGGGGAAAAGGTTCGGTTTGGTATGGTTTGGTTAGGTGGCCTAAACGAATGCCCGACCGACGCTAAAAGGATAAGCGCATTAGGGCATTTACTTTGCAATTGCAATGCGAATCGGGCCGGGAATCAGGCCAGGACGCATTAGTACTTCTGCACATACATATATATCGGGCGGTAGAAGCCACTAGACATCCAACAAGGACATGCACATGTATGTCGGAGGACCAGGACTCGACCAGAAGCTGTTGTTGCCGACACAAAAGCGCAACAAACAAGCAACAGCCTCGGGCTGCCGGGCTTTCCAATGCAACGACGACAAAGGACGGGCACATTGCACTTTGGACCCACTTAATCCTGCCCATTGTGTTAGCCTTATTATGACGCCCAACACACGAGAGTCCTCCGGCTGCTCCCAGTCCCTTTCGTCCTGCCTCTCAGACCCAGTTCAATTTTTGAAAAAAAAAGAAGAAAGAAACGGGAAAGAAGAAAGAAACTGAATTCTGGCAAAGCCTTGACGACAGTTTTATGCTTTATCAGCAGCGGCGTCGCCAACGCTGGGAAAACTTGTTTGTTTTTCCTACACTTCGCCTCCTGTAATGAACGGCATTGTCTGTCCTCCTTGTCTGCGGGTGGAAAAGGGGATGCAAAAGGGGATGGTTTCAGCTGCGTGTGTTAAGGTTACACTTTGTTCGCTGTGCCCGCGACCAGACGGCGCCAGTCGACCCTCAAATACTCCGAAGGCAGCCGCCACATCAACCTCTTGGCATTGGCCATTTGCCGGAATGCTTTTTTGGCAACCATTGGCAAATCGATAATATCGCCATGAAGTCACGAGGCTAAAATTATAACATATTTAAAGCCAGCTCGAGTGTGGGCAGTGCTTCAAAGGGAGGCCTCTGAATATGAATGAATATGAATGAGTCCTTACGTTAAGGATAAGGGCCCTGAGGCGTGAAATTCATAGAATGTTTTCTGAAAGCAAAACATTTTCAATCGGAGACAAGGGTTTGACATTTGGGTTGAACAATTGAAGCAGGCATGCTTTTAAATACTTATGGCTAACATGTTTTTTCTATAATATGATTGATAAGTTAATATTCGGTTGGCTAATATTCAATTTACCATAAATGCTTTAAAACTAAAAAATTTTTTAAATTAAATGTCTAGATTCTGACTTTGATAAATTTAGAAATATAATTTATTATTTTATTCAATGCTTTAAGTACTGAAAAATATTTTTAAACTTTTTCACAAATAAATATCCTGCTGAATCCAGCAGTGCTGATTTCAATTTACTACCGAACATAATTCGATTTATTTTCGAAAATTATTGAAAGTGCAATAACTCTGCCGGTAGTGTTTCAATAATATCACTTAATGCGAATTAAAGCCTGTTTGTGAATAGCTTAATGACTGATGCACCGATTACCCGGTGTGAAATTGCCTTTATCGGAATTAATTAAAAGTCCTTTTGCCGACTTAAATCAAAGATACGCCCGGGCAGTTCATTCCCATACAAATTGGCTCGAACGGAAACTAATTAAATTATTAATATTGTGCGGCCAATGTCGGTTGGCTTTAATAAATGAGCTGGCAATCAGCTGGACACTCAATCAATTTGTACAAACAAAACCTAATTATGCGGGGCAAAAATTGAATGCTAATAAATCAATTGAATGTCGAGGAGAAGAAACATGCACATGGCCAAGTTAACAAGTCGTTCGTTCGTTTAAGTTGCCCCAAACTTAAGATTTCTAGGTCACGTCCAAAAAGGGCGATATTTTTCCACATTTCCACATTTCCCCACTTTTTTTTGTGCCATTTTCTGTAAGCTGCTTCCTATTTCGGCAGACAAATGGCGTCGCAGTTTGGTGGCGCCAGTTTTTGTTGTTCCTGTCGTCATCACCGCCACCGCTGCCACCACCGCCAGCACTCTGGGATTCTGGGATTCTGGAGCCCAGATCCAGATCCACCTCGCAGCCCGGCTGCTTGTCACTGCCAATTTTTACTGCAGCAATTCCTTTGCCAGACCCCGGCTGGGGATAAATCCAGCGGCCCGTTATCGGGTGTTTTGCCCCGCGGGCGGATGTGGATCCCTATTGATTTCCCAAGTCCCTCCTCCTTTTCAGGCATTAAAGTTGCAGCCGGCGAAAGCAGCAGTGACACGGATAGTTATAGTCGTAGTTATAGTTCTGTTTGCAGCCCCCGAATCCATCAACAGCTGTCAAATTGCTCTGGCCATTCATGGGCTTTATGTTGGCCAGGCCATGTTGCCTGCTAACTTTTTATGGCCCACACTTTTTTACAGTTAGTTGGAGCTTAAAATTGATACAGGAAATATGGAATTTAAAATTTTAGAGCCCCTTGAAGAGTTGAATTTATGGGCGAGCTCAGGAAATGTGTTTGCGCAGTGAACACTTTGCCTTTAATGGGTATAATAAATGAACAACAAAGGCTTTAATTGAATTTATTTATTTATTTATAAAATGCATTTATTTTTGAATAAAGTATACAGATTGGTTTAAATAAGTAAAAGGAACATGATTTCTTCATTTTATTGTGTAACTTTTTCTTTACTGTTTTTGTGTATCGAATAAAAGTATTTACTTGTTGTCCTACACAAAAAGAAACACGCGGGATTAAATTGATATGCGCTTGCTGATTTTCTGGTATTTATACGAATGTCGTTTTTACCATGCAACAGTGGTAAAATTGATATTAAATTTCGTCATTGTGCTTATTACTCTCTTTCGGAGATCATAAGAGAAAAACTTATTTTTTAATTTTAAATAAAGCGAGATAGCGTTTAAGCATTAAAGTTTATGGTTTATATTTAGAGCATATCAAATTGAGATGCCGCAAATTGATCACGGTTAATATCAATTTTTTTTTGGGTGTATCAATTAGGCATGAAATGGCACAAGTTTTTCATCTAAGAATCCTACCTTTTGTTCTCAGTACTCAATATATTATGTGGATTATTTTTATCTCTGCCCTGAATGGATTGTTTTGCTATTTGCTTTTGTAGTGGAGAACCCTTGGCTGGCTTACGTAAGCCATTTGCTTGATTATATTTTATTAAGGCCATTTCCTTATTCTCGTTTTTGTGTTAATTTCCCTCCACTGAAGTGCTTTCAGTGGGCCAACTG